AGGTTTCTACTATAACTTTAATTCCGATATTTCCCATTTTGAAGAAATTTTTTTTTTTCATTATGCCGAAGCCCACAACACCGAAATTCCAATGAATTTGTATTGCGGCATTATGGCGTTTTGGTATGATGGACCGATATTTAGGACTTCGGGATTATATATTTCGGATTTCGGTATTCTGGGATTTCGATATTATGAGATTTTGGTATTACATATTGTCGGTTTTCGGCATTATGGAATGTCGGCATTATGGAATTTCTGTATTGTAGTGCGAAATCCATTTGCATCGTTTCTGCTTATCTGTGCATAGGGGGGTGGTGTCGTGCATCTTTTGTTACGAAAGAGCTGCCCGATGCGATTATCGGGATTGTGGGTGTGATGGCTTGAGAGTGATGCCCCGGCTGATCGGACGGCGCGGTGCGCAAAGACCGGAAGCGTCAGTGCCACCTTTTCTGTCCTTTCTCCGATTGACTTTTTTGTGGTTGTTGTGGTCCTTGCAGGGTGGTTTGGGGGATTTGGCGATTTGCCAAAACGCTTGGTTTGGGCTTTAAAATTGTTAAGCAGAATTTTTGTAAATGATTTTCAGCATACTCCAGCTTCTAACCTAAACTAACTTTTCGACCAAAAAGGATTTGTGGATCTTTTTAAATATTTTTCCACTTGAAATATAGTTGAAATATTACTAAAAATGCTATTATTATATCATTAGAGTGCGAGTGAGTGCTTTAATAGTGTTTTTAGTAAAATTTAACTATATTTTAAATGGAAAAACAATCTAACAACTTAAAAAAATTTTGTAGCTGAAAGTTTGGTCGAAAATCGGCCATTTTTGTATGAAAAATTTGTAAGGTTTTTTGCGTCTCGGCATAGAAAAAAAATAGGGTTTAGAACCAGACCTTCTATTTATATTAGAAAAACTAGATCCTTGGAAGACCCCCCCCCCCGATAATGCAAAAGCTCCATATTGTTACATAGTGTTATATTCTTTATCCACTACCTCCGTGACATCGTCGTAAGGATTTTCGGGGCGTAGTAGAATATTAAATGGGCCATTTTGCGATGCATGGGCACCCAGGGGGGCCTTTCCAAGCGGGGATACCCATAGAATACGGGCCTTTTTGGCGGCTCTACGCCTCTTTATCTAGATACCCTTTTATAGTGCTTTTTAGAGAGCGCGATCATCGGTAATCCGTCAGCCGCGTAACAGGCCACCTGGCCATCTCTTGGGACAATGGCTGCGCGGTATCGGGCAAACGGTTTCCCATCAACACTTGATTGACGTTTCTCATGGTACTCATACCCTGGGGGCGCCACAACGATCCGTCGCAGCCGCTGCGCTTTTTTAGGGCCTTATGGCTCTGCAGTAGCAGTCAGCGATTGATTAGTGGAAATTTTATATATATCTTTTTCACCGATTGTCTACGAGAGTTTTAACGCATTAGCGTGTTTTTTCTAAGACTTTTTTTGTGGTTTTAACGTTTTTAACGTTTTTCAAAAATGTTTAACGAACCTTTTGAAACGGATCATTTTTAAGTCCTTTAGTCTAGTTTTATTATGTTTTTGGTGGTTTTTATTATTAGAAACTCTTTAGAAAATTTTATGAAAGCTAATATTTTTTGACAAAAATCAAAAACTTTAGTACATTCTAACTGGGAAACTAACTTCTAACTGTTTGGGAATTTACTCTACTTAGAACGGGTTAAAAAGTTCATTTTTCGGACCTTATGGGACCACAAAGCGCTCCCCCGCTAATAGCAAAGAACCGATTTTTTAGTAGTACCTTTTTGACAGCGTTTTCCTACCTGAATTCACCCTTTCGAGGTTCCTGAATTTTCTCAATGTCATTGTATTTTTAGTGTTTTCATCAACATCGTTTTGATTAAATTTTATTCGATGTTTTTATCGTAATCTACCCTCCGTTGGTAGCTGTGCCAATTCTGCAAGGCATCACTAGCCGGCCTTCACATTTTTTATGCAAATTGCACGTCAGGGAGTCCCGGCCCTCTGTTTTGCCGACCAGAGCTTCACGCCTCTGCTATGTAAAGCTGGTCACCGTGGCGCTACTAAATCATGGTTTTTTGTCTTTTTGAACCTTGGAATTTTTTGAGAATAATTTTCGAAGTACGTTTGTTGCTAAATTCAATATATTGACCCGTTTTTAGGCCTGAATTTTCCTTTGAAGGAGCTGTTTTTCTCTGAATGGTTTTCCTCATTTTCTCTCTAAATCAGCGCTACTTTTGGGGTTTCAATAGCTATTCAGAATTACCCCCACCCAGCCGATACCATGCCAAGCGCTTCCCAACTCCCCATCTTGGCTATAGGCACCATTGCGCCTTATCAACGCTGGGCTGCTCGTATCAATGTGCAAAGCCATATTGACACCATTTCTCCCAACCAGCGAGCCATCAATTGATCCTGTACTTCTCGGGCGGTCCACTTGTTTTCCCCTATCTGGAACCAAGCGGGACGCCCCGAGCGTTTCCGGGTTCTTTGGCATTATCGGGGGGGGCGAGGGAGTTACTGGTTATTCAAGATTTGGCTAGTTTAGAAAACTTTTAAAAGTTCAAAACGGTGCAATTTTGGTAATAATGCGGGTTTTTCTTTGTTTTTTTTAAAATGAAATTTGTAAAGTTTTGTAGCTTTCGGAGCGCTAAAAACGGTGCAAAAACCTTTCAGCTATTTATATAAGTAATATTGGATGATAAAAATGCACTAATAATGCAAAAGCACCAAAAAAACGAATTTACGAAATGATATCGTTCTAGGGCCTAAATGTGTACTTTTTATTTGTGGCTCTTTTAATTTAACGCTCTCGTCGTGAAGAATACTTTAAGCCCTTTTTTATCAAGCCGTTTCCAGCCCAAAACGAAGTTTTCCAAGCGAGAACCGATCGGCCGCGGCGAGGAGATGAAGCCCCGGATCGAAGCCATTTTACTGCTGCTTCTCCACCTTGCCCACCCGATTTCCAGCATCATTGACGTCGCGTGGTGGTGGGTATCGTACCGTGTCGAGAAGATTGTGTCAAGCGCTTACTTATGAACTTAATTTTTCTCTAGGTCTTCCGTAGCGCAACTATCAACATCTCCGCTGTTGGCATCATCAGCGGCAAGGTCACAATGCCATCATCTAAAGGTAAAAATTCGTTTTTTTTACAAAAGAAAAATGCTGCTAAAATTCCAAAATATCTATTACTTGGCACAAAATTGGAATTTCTAGGCATTTTTCCGAGTTTGTTGAATCGTTTTTCACTTGGAAATATTAAAGTATCCCCCCGATAATGCCCAAGAACCGCCCATCCTTTTTAGGGCCTCTCCCCGGGGCAAAGCCAAATCTGCGAGCTCTTCTCCGACCACATGCCGGCGGTGGGCAGCGGGGCGCATAAAGCCATTCAGGTTGGCGAATGATGAAAATTTGTCAAAACTTAAAGTAGATTTTGAGTCTATTAGTGCGCAAAAACTGTTAAAGTATTTTTAGGAATGCCAGCACCAATTCCGGGGGCACCGCTGGAACTGCTCGACGCCGTTCGGCAGCGGCTACATCGGCCCGGCGCATCAGCTTGGGACCCGGGAGGCCGCGTTTACATACGCAATCCTGTCTGCGGGTGTTGCGCACGAGATTGGGAGGCGATGCAAGAAAGGTGAAGGTTTGGATAACTTGAATTTTTGCTAGCATTCCGGTATTCCGAATTCACTTTAAGACGATTAAAACACATTAAGCTTTTAAAAAAAAGAGTTAAATCAGCCAAATAGCTCCTAGAAGTTGTTAAATTCAGGCGAGCTCTCGTCCTGTGGCTGCTCATCCGACACGAAACCCAAGGAGATGGCCGACGACTTTTCGTGGGGCGGCTGCGGGGATAATGTTGAGTATGGAAGTCGTTTTTCGCGGTGAGTTTGGTAAAATAGTATGTTCAATAATATTTTTCATACCTTGGAATTAATGCAATATTATGCTACTGTAATTTCGCCGTCTTGAAGATGTCTTACCCTTTTTTTCTAGTGATTTCATCGACGTGCGCGAGAAGGAGGAGAGCGTCAAGCGGTCCAACGACAATGGGCGCAGTTTGATGAATCGAAAGAATAACGAGGCCGGCAGGAAGGTGCGAAATTTTATAGTCTGACGAGCAAGATTCTAACCCTTCTTAGCTCCTGAAAAAGCACACGCAGCCCAAGTGCAAGTGCCACGGCGTCTCCGGCTCGTGTAACCTGAAAACCTGCTGGATGCAGTTGCCGTCGATGCGTGAGGTGGGTGGCAATTCTTCTACTTTTTCCTTCCCTTTTTCCAGCTTTTCTTAGTTTGCTTCGTACGTGAATTCCGGATTTAGATGGGCGAGCTCCTCGAAGAGCGATACCGACGTGCCCGCCGCGTTCAGATCAACGACCGCGGCAATATGCAGTTTGTCGCTGGAGCCGAGGGCCGGCGGGGAGCACGAGGGTTGCCCACCGATCTCGTCTTTATGGATGATAGTCCGGATTATTGCAGGTAAGTAATGGTACAGGAACCCAACTTTTGCACCTTTTTCTGTAAGCCAACTGAAGCTTAAAGAAGCCTAAGTAGCGCACTCCCAATTTCAGATTCGACCGGTCGATGGGCACGATCGGGACGGAGGGCAGGATATGCAAGTGGGTCGAATAAACTTATAAAGCTTTCTAAAGTTTGAGCACGACTCCATTGTTCTTTCAAAAGCATTATTTAGGCGCGGCTCTTCCGGGCCCGAGGGCTGCGACGCGCTGTGCTGTGGCCGCGGCTACAACACGCTGACGATAGAGACGCGCGAGAAGTGTAAATGCAAATTTGAGGTAGGCCGATAAATTGCGGAAATTCAAGTACGGGCACTAGTCCGCACGCTTCTACGTTGTGCGCTCCATACGGTTTCGCCGATTTTTGCGATTTTCTGTTGATGGCGCGCGCTTATACCTTTAAATTAAAAATTAATAACTAATAATTTTAATAACTTAAAAACGTAAAAATCAGCGTTTTCCCAAAAAGTTTCTGCTACATTCCCCCATTTTTCAGTGGTGCTGCAAGGTGGTCTGCCAGACGTGCGTCAACAGCAGTCGCGTAGACATTTGCAAATAGTGGAGGCCCGACAACGTGGATTTCAGCTTGCCATTCGGATTTATTGTTTTTTTTTTGTCTTGTAAATTATCTCTTTCTCTCTCGCCTTCACTCTCTCTCTCTCCGTCTCTCTCACTCGCTCACTCCCTCGCTTCAGAATTCAGCAAAACCCCGCCCAGATCTCACTTATTATCCCTCCTCTCTAATTTTCTACCTAATCCATGACTCACGGCAGGTAGCGCCTGCAATTTGCTTTAATTATTTCAAACTACGTTATATGCTGCTTATTAATTCTTTTAACCTATTTTCTAGACAATTTCTAACCTATTTTTTTTTCTTCTCTCCGTTTTCTACAAGCCGATTCCCTGCCCTTACTACCACACGCCGCCCACATTCCCCGAAAAAAGTGCTCCCTTGCCATATAAGTTGAAACTCCATTCAATTACTATTTACAGAAGCTTTGGAAGTTTAAATCAAACTTTAAATCCTCTCTATCTTGTTCTCCCCATGTGCACAGATTTTTACTTTTTTTTTGTGTGTATCGCATTTTTATTTTGTGTTTTGTATTGTGTACCTTGATGTTGGTTTTAGCAGATTCGTGCCCGGCAAATAAACGAATTTTCCAATGGCGGAGAAAATGCGCTGAAAAAGGAACGTTGTGCATGAAAAGAAAATTAGGGTCCTTGCTTAGGCTTAGGATTTAGGTTTAGGGTTAGGCTTAGGCTTAGGCTTAGGCTTAGCGTAGACTTAGCTTAGACTTAGACTTGGTTTAGGTTTAAGCTTGGGCTTCGGCTTGCTCGCTAAAATGTTCCTCAAGGATCACTGCTGGTATGCCGCCCAGAACGAGATCGAATGCCTAATTGGAATTAACGCGTAATTAAATGAAATCAAGAAATATCCGGAAATTTCGATGATTTGAGTTTATTTTGGGGTAGAAAAGTCCGGAAAATCGAAAAACGTTGATCTTTTCCGTATTTCTACTGCTTCCCCTCCCTTTCTTAACCGCATTTTCGTGGTTTCATTCGCTAATCAGCTGTTTCATTAAAGGTTTGTTTAAATGGACAGTTTGTAAGGTATTTTCCGCTAAAGTATCTGAGTAAAATGCCCCCCCCCCGCTAATAGTCCAGTGCCCTAAAAAGCAACCGCATACCGTCAACGATTCCGTCATTCTAGGCATATCATCGAATGGCCGTCGCGCTCGACGTCGACGATCTAATCTGCCGCGTGCTGAACGTGGGCACACCAGGCTGCGCGTTGACGCAAAACGTCAAGGAGATCGAGCTCGTCCAACTGTGCATTTTGGCAAGGTGAGCTGGAGCTTAGACTTGCAAATACTCCATTTTTCAGGGAAGTCCTCCTCGCCCAGGGCTCACTCGTTGAAATCGAGCCGAACGTGAAGATCTGCGGCGACGTGCACGGGCAGTACTCGGACGTGTTGCGCATCTTCGACAAGGGCGGCTTCCCGCCGACCGCGAACTACCTGTTCCTTGGCGATTACGTAGACCGGGGGGCATCAGAGCCTGGAGACGATCATCCTCTTCTTTTGCTATAAGGTGAGGGCTTGTTCACCTACCGAGGGTATGTTCTTCCAGGTGCGCTTCCCCGGCAACTTCTTCATACTACGCGGCAACCACGAGTGCGCGAGCATCAACCGCGTCTACGGCTTCTACGAGGAGTGCACCCGACGGTACCCCGCCCATGGGCTGCGTCTTTGGCAGGCTTTCCAGGTTTGGCGGTAGATGAACTTTGCCATTTCACCTGTCCTAGGACGCGTTCAACACGTTGCCGTTCTGCGCGCTGGTCGGCGAGCGTATCCTGTGCATGCACGGGGGCCTGTCGCCAAAGTTGAAAAGCCTCGATCAGATTCGGCAGATCCAGCGCCCTGTCGAGCCGGCCAACCCGTCGCTGCTCTGCGATCTGCTGTGGGCCGACCCCGACCCGTTCGCCAAGGTCAGCAGCAAATACAGCTTGACCAGGATGATGATCGATCACGCATAAATTCAGAATCCGTAAATTACAAGATAAAACAGAAAACATCATCATGAAGACGTTCAGGGTTTCAAAGGCGAGCCAACGCGGCGTGTCCTTCGTGTTCGGGCCGGATGTGATGGGGGAGATGCTGCAGGCGCTCGACATTGACCTCGTCGCCCGGGCCCACCAGGTCGTCCAGGACGGCTACGAGTTTTTCGCCAACCGCAAGCTGGTAAAGGCGCTGGGCTAGGGGGCTGTTCATCTACCAAGCTATCTAGGTGACCCTGTTTGCGTCGCCGCATTACTGTGGTCAGTTCGACAACGCGGCGGCGATCATGAACGTCGACGAGAAGCTCGTCTGCTCTTTTCAAGTAAGCTAAAATCCGGAAATGAATAAAATAAAAATTCTAGGTGCTGACCCCGTCGTACAAAGTGGTGAAGGATCGGCAACGGAAGTGCACATAAACCCCCTTTTTATTTATTGTATTGATTTTTGTAATTATATGTGCGAAAATGTGTAAATAAACGGATTTAAAGAGTTTTACAATTTTGATTGAAATAAACGGATTTAAAGAGTGAAGCCAGTTTTACGCGCTAATTGACAGGCACGCACAGGGTTCAGTGTACGGCGGAGCCATGTGTAGCCGAATCCTTTTAACATTGATTTGACAACGAAATACTTGCGAAATGCGTATAATAAAATGATTTTACGAGTTCGTTTCATCCGTCTTTTTTGAAAGCCAGCTTTACGTGCTAAAATTGGCACGCACGCACAGGGTTCAGGTGTACAGTGGTTCCGTGTGTAGCCACGAATTCTTTTAGCGTTAACGTTTATTACACAAAGAAAATCATACAAATTTCATTGACAACCATTGGCAGCGTATCATAATTGTTTTTATTAGTATTGGAGCAGTTCATCATAAAACTTGAGCCCCTTATAAAGCGATTTTCGAATTAAAGATTAAAGCTTTCTGTTTTTGAGAATCGTTAAGGGTGTTTTTGGGCGAAAATGGATAGGATGCACAAAAAAAGGATATAAATATTGCGTTGACAAGATTCGGCGATCAAAACATCGGAGGCGATAAATGCATCGAGGAGGGGAGTGGAGACTTTTTAAAGCGTTAGAAAAATCTTAAACCTTACAAATTATCAGTCGCAAGCTAAGCAATTAGAAAAATATAAAATCCTTCTAGTTTTGGAATCAAAAAGCTTAATTATAAAATAAAACGTAATTAAAAAGGATGAAATAAGTGCAAAAATGCGAAATGCGGATTTTTTCGGGTTTGCTGACTACTCGGCAACCCTATAGACACTGGCACTTGGCCGCCACGGTATCCGGAAGTAGACGGAGCACGAGGTTCCCGTGCGCGTCGAGCAGCATTAATGGGAGCGGGGCGAGGCGTGAAGGCGCGCAGCACACCGCCCCGCGCCACATCGACGGCCCGACGCTCCACAGGAGACGCGCACGGGCGGAGGATTTCTGAAATTACGTCTTTCGTTTTCGCGGGCAAGCTAGCACATTTTGTTGTGGAAACCGCCCAAAAACTCGAATTTGCGCCTCAAAACGCTTCGTTTCTCGCGGTATTTGACTTTTAGCGGGGGGGGGGGTTAGCAGGCTAATAGCTAAAAGCCTCCCCCCGCTAACAGTCCAGTATCTTTTTCGCAAAAAAAAGTCCATTTTCGACCACCCACCTTCCCGGGCTTTTCACACCCTCCGCCACACTGTGATAAATCGAGGTGACTCGGCGATAGAATGGTCGTCTCCAGGCCCAGCGACGAGGTGGAGACGAGGCGACGGACCAGGCGACATTGCTGGAATTTTCTAGCTTATCGATAAACTTCTCTCGACCCACGTCATTGACCCCCTTATCTAGCAGTACAATCCGTTCATCATCATCATCGTCCTCCTCATCATCCTCATCCTCATCTGAGGTGTCTCCAAAGCCGTACCACGGGTCCTTCTTCTGCTTCTCGGCCATATCCTCGGCACGGGTCAACTAAAGGATGTTATCGACGATACCTTAAAACAAATTGTGTTCCTGGTTTTCGGGGGTGGTTTTTTTTTGGGGGGGGGGTTGTGTTTTTTTTTTTTTTTTTCTTTTCGCTCTGTGGGGGGGGTATTGTTTTTTTAATTTTTTTTTTTTTTTTTTTTATCATAAAAAAAAAAAATAAAAAAATAATTTTCTGAAAGGATGTTGTAGTTTTTTTTGGGGTTTTTTTATTTATTTTTTAATTAAAAGGGAAGAATAAAAAATTTTAAAATTTTTTTTTTTTCTTTTTTTTTTTTTTCCTCCCCCCCCGCCGGAACCCCTCCAAACCCCCCCACCGCCCCCAAAACGGCCCGAATTTTAATCCGCGGCGCGGGGGGAATTATTTAAAAAGGTTAAAAACCCCCCCCCCCCCCAAGCAAAAGACCCCCCCCCCCGGGGGGCCCAAATCTTTCTCACCTTGGCCTTGACTCGTGGTGGCTCGCTGTACTTGAAGTATTCTGAAATCAAAGCATTTAACTGCTAAACTAATTTTTCAAGCTTGGTGGCCTGCTTTAATTCGTTGCTAGCATTTTTTGTGTTATTTTACCAACCGCCCGTATCCCTCTTTGCGCGCAGGATTCGATTTTCAGCGGTGAGCTTCTCCCTCCCCTCCGAGATCTCGACCGCTTCAGCCTCTTCCGGCTCGGGAAGTTGCGGATCGGCCTGGAAAAAATTCGCTTGTATTTATCTATCCTAAGACGCACCTCGGTGAACACCAGCAAAAACGGTGGATTCCGGCGGACCAGATCCTTCGGTCCCCTCATCTTGATGTCCTTGCGCCACATCTGAAAAATGGGCGTGGCTTGCTATTCATGGCGTAATTGGTTTCGCCCCAGGTTGGCGGAATTTCCGGTGGACCTACATGAACAGCCATCGTGGTCCCGTTGATCGCGTGCAGTTGGGCAAACGGCAGCGTCGCGTCCATCACGGCCGTCGTTCGGGTGGCCTCGATGTGCTGAAAAAAAGGTGTCTAATAACTAAATTCATCAATACCGTAAGCGGATAGGCCGAGCGGCAAAAGTGGTGGGTACAGGCGACGGAGGCCCGAACGGATTTGGCCCTCCTCCTCGACCCATGACGATGGGCTTGGGGCAGATGGAAGTGCAGCTCGGCGCGGAGAATCTGAATTTTTCCGCTTTTCATGGAGCCCGAATTTTAGCTCAAAATTCTGGAAACTGTTGAGACGATACCTTCTCGTCTTCCCCGACGCTGGAGACGTCAAAGAGGAGCGCCTCGTTGCCGTTGGCCTTGCCTGAAAATGGGTAAGTTGCAGTGGCAAAAAAACTTTTTTCTATTTTTCTACCTAATTGCTACTTTTTTTCTATTGTCTAAACCATTTAGTATGGAAATTTGATACATTTTCGGCTATACATTTTGAAAAGCATTTTTTCGAAAATTAGATCTCGAAAAACTACCTGGTCCGGTCTCCCAAAAATCCGCTCAACTTCACTTCCCTTTAAAAGTCCGTTTCCCGTCCCTTTACCAAGGCTCCTCAAATGGCCCAACCGGCCGACTTCAAAGTGACCCCCGGGAGCCGGGTGGATGTTTCGGGCTGCGGGAGCGCCATTTGGGCCATTAGCGGAGCTCTAGGGTGGCCGTTCACTCCCCGGGGTTGACAGGGGTTGCGACAACATTCCGACAGCTGATGGCCACAGGTGAATGGGGTGGAACCTCTTGCTCGGGACAGAGGGTACGCCAAGGTACTCCGGACACTCGCGGAGTGACCACCATGGGGGAATGTATTTTAGCATTGAGAAATGCCAAAGTTCGGGTACTTTCGCATTATCGGGGGAAGCGCCTCTTTTTTCCAGCACAGATGCGCCTAGTAACGTAATAACGCGCACCTGACTAGTTTTTAGTAAAAACCAGGGTTGACAAAGCCGCTTCGCGACTTTTTTTCAACCCAGGCCTGTCTCACCCCTCTTCATCCATTCACTTGTAATAATGCATTATTGTCCTCAATTGGGATGACAAAAAAATGAAAAACGCCCTCTTCAGCTCCCTTTATATAGTCAGCTCCCCACTTCCGGTCTATGCCAATTATTCCCTAACGAAGAAGTTTTTACAAAAACTCAAATTTAATGTCGAAAACAGCTGTATTTTGTAAAATCCTAGTATGTGTGCAGTCTGTCTCAAGACCATTGCGCACCTAATGACGTATCACACATACCTTAAAATTCATTTCCCATCGAGGTATCCTCCAGGACAGGAACAGACTGCAGTGGATGCAAAGTAGCACACACACACACACAAACACTATTTTTATATATATAGTAGGA